GCAGTCTCTCAGGGCATAATTTTCACAGCTGCAAAGCAGCCTGCGTGACTCAGCTGTCCCCTCCTGATTGCTTCCAGATTCCAGGTGCCCATGGGCCTCCCTGTCGTGCCTGCTTTCTGCACCACCATTATTGCCTGTGCAAAGTAGGTGCCTGTGTTCAGGTCCAGGCAGGGAGTCTTTTTAGAAATCAGACTTTGTTGTCTTTCTTCCTTTCTCTCCTCCTTTCTTCCTTTCTCTTCCTTTTCCCCCTCCCTTCCTTCTTCCCTCTCTCCCTTCTTTCCTTCATTCCTATGTGTGCTACTGGAGGTTGAACCTGGGGCTCCTGCATTGAGCTACATTTCCAGCTCTTTTTATCTTTTCATTTTGAAACAGTTTTGCCAAGTGATCGTGTTGCCCGGACTGGTGCACAAACTTGTGATCCTCCGCCTCAGCCTCTCAGAGTGCTGGGATCACAGGTATGCACCACCACCCCCAACTTAGAAACCATAAATTTTCTAATTGTATTTGCTGTACCCAGGAATCACATCGTCTGGTAAATGAGGAACAACTGACCAGTTGTGACAAGAGCATGGCACGGAGCTCTCAGCACTGCTGGTGGCAAGGTGAGGGGTGCAGGACCCTGCAGAGCAGCATGGGATGGCCCAGTGGAGTTCATTGTCCCGGGCAATGGGGGTTGGACGAATGAGTTCTGAATCAGCAGTGGTGGCAGTTACACAGCACTTGTCAAACTCACGAAGCTATGTACCCAAAGGGGTGAATTTTACTGCACATAAATCACACTTTAATTTTTAAAGAGGTTTATTTTGGCTCATGGCTCTGGTCCAAGGTTGAGGGCCACATCGATGCCCTTGTTGATGGGGCCCTGGGCAGTGTAGGGCATCACATGGCAAGAGACATGAATGTAGCTGGGCATTGTGGTGCACACCTGCAATCCCAGCATCAGGAGGCTGAGACAGGAGGATCACTGAAAGTTTGAGGGCAGCCTGAGCTACAAAGTGAGCTTAAGGCCAGCCTGAACTGCACAGTGAGACCCCCATTTCAAAAGGACAAAAAAAAAAAGATGGGAATGTGTGTTTGCCTGAGCCTTTACTCTCTCTGCCCTCCCCTCCCCCCTTCCTCCTCCTCCACTTCCTCTTCCTCCCCCTCCTCTTTCCCTTTTCTTCCTCCCCTCCCCCCTTCCTCCTCCTCCACTTCCTCTTCCTCCCCCTCCTCTTTCCCTTTTCTTCCTCCCCTCCCCCCTTCTCTTCCTCCTCCTCTGAGTCAGAATCTCCCTGGCCTCAAACCACTTGGCTCAAGTAATCCTCCTACCCCAGCCTCCTGAGTAGCTGGGACCACAGGCCTGTGCCACTGAACCTACCTATACCTTCACATTTTAAATTTAAAACACAGTAAAAAAAAAAAAAAAAAAAAAAAAGCCAGGTACATAGGTGTACCCCTGTAATCCTAGCTCCTTGGAGGCTGAAGCAAGAGGGTCACAAGTTCGAGGCCAGTCTGGGCAACTTAATGAGACTCTGTCTCAAAATAAAAAAATAACAAAAGGCCAACGATGTAGCTTAGTGTTGGAATACCCCTGGGTTTAATCCCTGATACTGAAAAAAGAAAAAATTAAAAACAGAAGAGGGATAGGGATATAGCTTTGTGGTGGAGCACTTGCCTGGCATGTATGAGTCCCTGGATTCAATCCCCAGCACCAAAAGCACTGATTAATTAATTAATTTCAATTTAAAAAGAAAAAAAGGATAGAATGAAATTCAATCAAAAGCCAGGAGTGCTGGGGATTTAGCTCAGTGGCAAAGCGCCTGCCTGGCAAGCGCAAGGTCATGCATTGGATTCCTGGTACCGAAAGAAAAACAAAGAAAAAAAGAATTGCTTTACACAATGGAAAAGCTGGGCGTGGTGGCGCATACCTGCAATCCCAGCACTCAGGAGGCAGAGGCAGGAGGATCAGTGTGAGTTTGAGACCAGCCTGGGCTACAAAGTGAGCTCAAGCCTGGCCTGAACTGCATAGCAAGACCCTGCCTCAAAAAAGACAAAAAAAAAAAAAGGAAACTCAATCAAAGGGTACGTATCTGTATCATGGACTGCTACTCAACTATGAAAGAGAATAAGCTCTTGCTAAGCTCTTGCTCAATGCATATCTGAGTGAACAAAGCTGGGCAGAAAGAGTATTAACAGTGTGATTTCATTTCTGGGAAGTCCGCGAACAGACAAACCCACACTGTTATGACAGAGGTCAGAATAGTGGTTTCCTCTCGAGTAGAGAGACAATGGAGGACATGAGGAGCCCCTGAGATGCTAGAAATGTCCCCTCGCATGGGCTAAGGGCTGGTTCCTCGGATCCACACCCAAGCTGATGATGTGTGCCTTTGGTGAAGCAGAGTATTCCCCCATTTATGAAGTTTTTGACCCTTTTTTTCCTTATTTGTACTAAGCCACATCCCCAGTCCCCCCCCCTTTTTTTTCATTTTGACACAGGGTCTCACTGAGTCACTACATTAACCAGGCTGCGCTTGAACATGCAAACATGCTGTCCTCCCATCTCAGCCTCCTATAATCCTGGGATTATAGGATACATTACTTTTAAACATTGTTACTGCAGAGGTTGCTGGTGAGCAGCTTGGTCGACCACTTGGATGAAAATTCTTCCCGCTTCCTGCCTCCCCCCCCCACGCCTCTCCTGCCACCCAGCCAGTGCCCAACCAGTGCCCAGCTCCACACAGCTCTTTCACCGCCTGAGCCCGTGGCACGTGGCCGCTCCCAGCTGCCCCACAGGCTGGAATTCCTGCCCCACCCCACCGGCAAAACAAACTTCAAAACTGGCTGACAGCCCAGGATTTAAACCGCCTGCCCGCCTGCCTGCCTGATTCGCTTCCCTTTACGAGCATCTTGAAGAGGAGGGAGGTTTGTGGGTTGCCTCTGCCCCATCCCCTGACCGTTCCAAGGGCAAAGGGTCCTGGCCTGAGTGTAGCCAAGAGCTCTGATGGTCCTGTCCGCCCTGCCCTCGGGTAAATGCTGCCAGCTCGGCACCTTCTTGTGTGTGGGGAAGACTTTTGTCTCCTGGCTGCACCAAGTGCCTTTCTGCTCCCCACCACTTTTCTCCAGCAAAACAAGCTAATGCCCTCCTGGGAGGCCAAGGAGATCATATGTAGAGCCAGGCATGGTAGTGCATGCCTAGAATCCTAGCACTCAGGAAGCTGAAGCAGGAGGATTGCAACAAGTTCAAGCCCCAGCTGGGCTACACAGACTTCAAGGTCATTCTAAACTATATAGCAAGATCCTATCTCAAAAACTCAAAAAAGTAATAAATAAATAAGTAAAAGTGTCTGCAGCTTACTGAGTGTCCCATGACTGTAGCTGTGATTGATGGTGGCTTATGATACGAATGAATGTGGCCCCAGAAGCCAGCATCTGGCCGGAGTCATGTGACCTGACCTAGTGGGAGAAGGACGGTGACAGCAAAGCAAGCCAGCCCCAGTTCCCCTGGGGGTGGAGCTTGGGAGTCCTGGCCCAGCTGCAGCGCCTGCTTGCCTGTCTGCTTGTTTGTCTGCTGTGCGAGCTGGGGCAGGTGAGCGCCCTCCCTGAGCACCGCCTGCCTGTGAATCCAAGAGCGAGGGCCTCCGACATCTGAGCTCTCAGGAGGGGCAGGCAGGTCTCAGCATGACGTTGGCCAGGGTTCATCTTATCCCCTTCCCTTGAGATCCCTTTCTCGAAGGTCTAGGCCAAGTCTCCTTTCTCCAAGGTTAGGGGGCTTTGTTTTCCAGTGCTGGGGATGGGAACTTCTGCATGATAGGTAAATGTTCTATCGCTCATCTACAGCCCAATGTTTTGTTTTTTTTCTTTTGGTGCTGTGGATCAAACCCAGGGGATAATTCCATCCTCTTGCCTTAGCCTCCCTAAATGCTGGGATTACAGGTTGGACCACTATGCCTGGCTCCAATATTCATTTTGCTATCAGTTGCTTAGTCAGTTGAGGGGCCCCAGAAGCCTCTCTGTGAGCAGAGGCCCAGCCCACAGCCCCTCAAAGCCATACCCCACCCATGTGCCCTTCAGGGGCTGGAGACAGGGCAAGCGTCCTTTAGACTCTAGGGTTCTGGAGTCCCCTTGGTGTGTTAGGAAATAGTCTCCACCTTTCCATCTGCAAAACGGGGTGGGTAATTGTCATACTACCTACTTGAGAATATAAACTTTCACAGGAAGTGGTAACCACACCTGACACATGTACGCACTGTGGAGTTTTTCCTGGTGTGGTGCCAGGGATCAAACTCAGGACTTCATGCACCACTGAGCTGCATCAGCCCGTGTGTGCTGTCAGGCAAAGGCAGCATCTTATTTATCCAGATGCAGGACTCCCTACAATCTCATAGCTTACTTAGGGGGAGTTGTCTGCAGTGAAGGGATTCAGAAAGGATTTCCTTAGATTCCTGGGTTTGGGTGTGGCTCTTCCAAATTGGTTCCTTCCTGCTACTTTGAAGCGATGAATCTGGGGAGTGCCCAAATCCTAAAGAACCTGCCAGGGGCCCTCACGGCAATACTCCTGGCTATACCACCATACTTCCATCTTTGACCATTCTTGAGAAGTGATGGGGTTATTCTTGCCCTGTGGTGCAGGGTTTAGGAAAAGTGAACTCTGAGATGCTCATGTAGCCAGGTGAGGAGAAGGAGGGGCTGAATCCCAAGTCCTGGCAGGAGTGTCATGAAGGAACCAACCAAACTGGGCACGGTATTACACACCCAACAATCCCAGCACTTTGGAGGCTGAAGCAGGAGAATGATCACAAGTTCAAGGCCAGCCTAGGCTGAAATAGTGAAGTCAAGGCCAACCTGAACTACATAGCAAGACCCGGTCTCAAAAAAAAAAAGCTAGAAGGCTTCAGGGCAACCGGGAGGGAGCATCAGGTCCCCTCACCCAGAGGTCTTCCAGCTCTGCCAACCCAAGCCCCTCGTCATGCCACCACTGCTGTAGTCTTGTCGGGGGCCCCATAGGACACAAAGCTGGTTGGTTAACTTGCTCATCAGTGCTTTATTGAACCAAGGGCCAACAGCTGAGGCACTGCACCTCCAAGCACAGCCCTTCCCACATCTTGAGATCGCGAACCCAGAAGTTGCTGGGTCCTTGGTTTAACTGCTCTCACATTTCCTTTTGAATATTTCCAAATGCTAAGCATAAAGACTTCTCCTGACAAAGAGATACATACACACTCCTGCCGCAGGCTGTCATGTTCACCAAAGTGCTTCCACTCAGTTTGTGTGCACATGGATGTGCAAGGCACCATGCATCCATGACCATCCATCCATCCATCCATTTGTCCATGCTTCCATCCATCCATCCATCCATCTATCCGCGGCAGGACAGCAGCAAATTCTGAGCAGTCAGGCCCAGGGTTCATGGCAGTGGGCGCTGGGCTTCAGGGGTGGGGGCCTGACTCAGATCTTAGCCTTTGCCCCGGATGGCTTCAAGGATAATGACATCCCTTTCTGGGGCAACAAAAGCCAAGGCCAGGCGGGCAACTGATGTTCACATCTCGAACCCTAGCCAGATGGGGGAGCCCCACAGCCGGGGTGTGTGTCCTGAGACAAGTAAAATCAGACAAATCAAGCCTGCAGGTAACTCTGCAACAGGAAAGAGTAAGAGCTTATGTGTGTGCTGGAAGTGCTTGTAAGGAAGGACAGGAAAGAGGAAAAGAGAAAGGGTCAACATGACAGACACCGTGGTTCTTGCAGAAGGCAGGGGCAGCCCTGGCCCGGTCAGTGCCAGGGGCAGGGGGCTGGCTGGCTCCCGGGCCATGACAGAGCTCATCTTCAAATCATCAGAGGCTGTGGCTCCCCCAGCAACACACACACACACACACACACACACACACACAGAGCTCTGCTGGACACAGAAAGACAAAGAGGCAACCCAGACAAGGAAGAAAAGTCAAAAGGCCCTGGTGAACACCAAATACTTGCTCTGAGCTGGCACAAACCACCAGGCAGGGGTGACACCAGGGTGTGGAAAATGACTGGAGGGAGACAAGAGGAACTGGGACGGGGCAGACAGCCAGGAGTGCTGTCTTCCCCCAGCTAGCACCTGGGGCCTCTGGCAGGCCCCTCAGACACTGGCACTCAGATTCTGCGAGGCAGGCAAGGAAGGTGGCAAGACTGGCACCTGCACCTCTCACTGGTCCTGCAGCCGGCTGCAGAGCTCCCGCCGGCTCCGCTCCCCAGCCCAGCTGCGTGTCTTGAGGCGGAAGGTCCTCAGCTCCTCCCTGAAGGCCTCGTGGTTCATGGGCCGGTAGTCCTGGGGTTCGCAGAAGTTCTAGGGCAGCACGGCAGAGAGAAGGTAATTTCAGTATGAGGGAGAGGGTAATTTCAGGGGGTATCTAATTCTTGCTTGCAGGCTACTGTCACAAAGAGACTGGCCATCTCCACCCTGGTACCAACCGGGTGTTGTGGGAAAAACTCCTTGTAGCCGCCCTTGAGGATGTACATCTCGGGGTAGTAGAGCCTCGGGTAGTCATTGGCTGCGCGATCACGTTCCCTGATGAATCGGCACCTGGTGGGGGGGTTAGGGACAAAGATGAGAGCTGGGCTACAGCTGGGGGCCTGTTCCCTGCACCCCATCCTAGGGAGGTCTTAGGGAGCCACAGAAGGCGTCTGGGCACAGGAGTGTCTGCCACAAGAAGATCAGTTGCTACCATATAAGAGAGGCTGGGGTAAAGGCAGGAAGGAGGTGGATCAAGGGGGCAGCTTCTGTTTCTAGAAGGCAGCTGTACAATCTTCACTACAGCAACCTGTGGCCTGGAGCAGGAAAAGAAGTGGAGAAGTGACAAGTGGATGTAATTTGACACATTCAAGGGCTCTCAGACCAGACTCAGTGAGCCCCAAAGTTGGGGAGAGGGAGGGAGGGATAAAGGGCCTCCTGGTCCTAGTGCCTGGCTAGGGTGGGAAGCTGTATGCCGGAACCTAGCACAAAGGGAGGGATGAATAGGGGAGAGGAGGGCAGGGCAGCAGGGACAAAGCCTCAGTATAGAGCATCTGGGTGCAGACTCAATCCAGTGAGGCCTGTAGACAGGACCGGTAGTCTGATGGGTCTGGTGGCAATGCAGGGACAGGAGGCAGAGAACAGCCAGCTAGGGCAGAGCACGAAGGGAGACAAAGGAGACTTAAGAAGGCCTGGGCACTGCAGACATCAAGGGAACAGGCTCTCAGCAGAGATCTAACAGCATGAGCCCTGGAGGATGAGCATCAGTGGCCAGACACAGGACCCCTGGACTTTGAAAGGACCCTGGTGAAGACTTGGAACCAGATTTTGTAGGAGTGGTGGACAGGAGACCGATAGAAGGATAATGACAGGAGTTGGGGAGTGGGTGCCATGCAGAGTGAGGCACCAGGTCAGCTCTAAACCATCAGAGCATGCAAGAGGCCCAGGCTTCGGGGCTCGGCTCACACTCTGGCCACACCAATGGCTCCAGTGCCTACAAGCCCGTGCAGGGAATCAAGCGCAGGCACCAGCTGGTGGGGCAGATGCAGCAGGGACTCACATGCGGGGCCCGCGCTCCGATGAGAATTCGCAGTGAAAAATGAGGATGATCCTCTTGTCCAGGCTGCAGGGTGTGATGGGGCACTGAAGCAGGAAGGTTTCGGCATCTCGTTCAAGGGGCAGGTTCACCGCAGTCTGTCAGAAGAACAGGTGGTCAGGCCACCAGCCTGCACCTGAGAGGTAGACCCCTCCCCTTTGCAGTCCCCCTCCTCTTGCTGGCAGGTCCCCTCCATGAGAAGGTAGGCACACCTGCTTCCCACCAATTTAGCTCACCTTGATGTGTCCGCCTTCGTACTCATAGGGGTATCTGCAATCTACAATCACAAACTTCTCCACAATGTTGCTGAACTTGCCCATCAACAGGGCTACCACCTGGAGAGGGGAATGGGGTTGGTGCTTTGCTCCCTGCTAGTCTGGACATGTAATCTACCCTCAGGAAAGGCCAGCAGCCAAACAGTGGTGTCTCATGCACCTGGAGACTGGCTCAGCCCCACTTACGGTTTCTGGAGAGATGTACTTGAGGTCTTGGTGTCTGCCATCCACCGTCTGTAGGAGGAAGGCCTGAAGGGAAAGGGAAGGGGGAGACAGAGTCAGAGGACAAAGTGATGTTGCCAAGACTGGAAAGAATGGGGCTTCCTTCCCAAGCCCAGAGGGCACATCTGCCTTGGCCTTCAAATTCAGCTCTGGTTCCCTCAACAACCAAGAAGCACCTCCTGGGGCTGATACCCAGGGAACAACTTCCCAGAGGTAAATGGAGTAGAACACACACACACACACACACACACACACACACACACACATTCCCTCTCTCTCTCTCTGTCTCTCTCTGTCTCTCTCTCCCTCTTTCTCTCTCTCTCCAAGGCTCTTTGAAGCCTGGGATGAGGCAGGAAAATCTTCCATGCTAGACATTAGTTTGGAGATGTTTACCCAGGCTGAGGCACTACAGATGTCTGGGCAGAGCTGAGGTAGAGTCAGAAAACCAAGAGGAGCCAGAGGGAGGAGTCTGCCTGGGGACAAAGGTTGAACAGATACCCAGAACAAAGAAAGGGGGCCCCTGGGGAGACAGGAAGAGCAGAAGCCACTCTTGAAGAAGTCACAGCTGGTGGCAGGTCAGGTGCCTAAGAGTACCATGGGGTACCTTGGAGTAATCTCCAATGAGTCCGCGGTGGTCGCTGTCCAGGATGCTTTCGATCTCATCATGACACAGGGACTTTGAGCGGAGGACCCGGGCTTTCTGGGAGGTGAGGCAGATGGAGGCCAGCATCAGGGGTGAGGAAGCCCCTCCGTGTCCTATCTGGCTGAGACCTCCTTTTGCTGCCCTGCCTGGGACACCACCAGCCCTTGGCCATCTGCCACAAATCCCAACAAGAGGGTGATAGCCAGGAGTCCCCCCAAGGTGGGGCAGTGGGTGGTGAGATCCAGGCCCTTGCAAGGAGACACTCACGGGTTCCCCAGGCTGCTGCTGCTCCTCAGGGAGGGTCACACTCCTCCTCCGCTTGCTCTGGACGGGCGTGTCCTTGTCCTGCGGCCGCTCAAGCCTCTTGAGGATGGGCCGGATCACACTGCAGGGCATGGATGGGGAGCGGAAGAGCCTCTGGCACTTGCTGAACATGACGAGGTCCTGGCAGGGGTGGCACGTCAGGGGTCAGAGTACTCAGTCCCTTGACCTCAAATCCCACCAGGAGGGGAGGGCCCCACCCCCACCCCCAAGTTTTTTGGGGGGCCATGTCAGAGGCCCACCTGCTCCTCTTCCTTATCCAAGGTCTTGACCAATGGGGCACTAATGAGGCTCTCCATTCCTGGGGGGACTGCATCATCCTCCTGAGGTCACATCAGCAAGGACAGGGTCACAACCACAGGCACAGGCCAAAGCCCTCAAGGCCCTGCATCCTCCAGGACAGTCTTCCAGTAAACACCAGGCCTGCAGCCCGTTGCCCCAGACCTCCATGCTGCAGGGATCCACTTACCGCTGGGACCTGCCCTGACCCGTGAGAAGCCCCTCACCCTGCTCAGCTTCCCCTCCACTTTGGCACCAGCCACTTCCTCTTCTCTGATTGGCCGGAGATCACGTCAAGACTCAGTTACCTCAAATTCTCCTTTTGACCTTGGGGTGCGGTCACAGTCTTCCCGAAGGGGCTCAGAGCTCTCCTCATATGGATGGCCCCCAGGAGGTGGAGGTGGGGGCCTGGTGGCCAAGCCTATTTACCTTTAAATCACTCTCCAGGATGTCCACGAATCCATCATCTTCTTCAGCAGTCCCCTCAGCAGGGCTCAGGGGGAAGCAGTGAGACTGGGCCCTGGGGCTCAGTTCCTCTACCTCCATCTTCCTCTCAGGAGTGTGGCACTGTTGAGAGTGAGACAGGCACAGGCTCTGTCCCCAGTCTCTGGACAGGTGCCCAGTGCCTGGGGGCTCCGGATAATCCTTGCCTTCCCAAGGTTGTATCCTGAGGGCCCTGCACGGGGTCAGTGCCCCTCTTTACCATAAGGTTGGGGGCCGAGCTTGGCCTCTGGGTAAAGGTTTCTCTGCGGCTGGCCCACTCTGCCAGGGCACGAGCAGGGCTGGGAGGTGTAGGCTTCCATGGCATCTTGAAAACAAATCCCTCCTGTGATCAAGAAAGATACCAGAAGTGTCACCGGATGCCAGAGCACCACCCCAGCCTGCCCCCTTCTCTCCTGAGCTCTCCCTTGCAGGCCACAGGAACGCACATTCTCCTTATCCTCCCCAGGGCTGCTGGCAGCTCTGCCACCGGCCTCGCTCTTCTTCCAGCAGTCCAGCGCTTGAGAATTGGTGATGTTTCGGAGCACAGGGCTGTGGCCCAGCAGCCTCACCTAGGGGAGCACAGGGCAGTACTGGAGGCCACATTCTTCTGCCACCAGGCTAGGCACTCCTTTCCCTGACCTGTCCTCCAGCTCCCCAACCACCCAGGAAACCATCTCCCTGGCCCAGCTAAGGGACACTTGGCTACCTCAAGCTCGTGCTTTGAGAGGGACCCTGGGATGCCTCCTGCCCCTGCCCAGCCAGCATGCCTAAGCCTCCAGCAACCCACAGGGGACACTCACGGGCAAGGACTGGAAGCGTCTGATGGCAAACTGCTCACTGCAGAAGGAAGCAGGACCAAGTCAGGGCTGAAGTGGGCAGCAGGGACCAAGGGCAGGCAGGATGTCCCTGCTCTAGAGCCCTCCACGCCTCTGGGGCACAGCCTTTCACAGGCAGAAAGGCTGGGAAGCACTTACCTTCGCATGACCCGGCTGGCTGTCTGGATGGCCTGTTCAAACCTAGGAGAGAGCAGATGGGATCCATCTTCCCCTGTAGCCTTCAAGGGGTGAAGACAAGACTGGGGCTCAAGACAGAGAAGCAGGAGGAAGCCCGCTGTCAGGGGCCCAGGTACAGGGGTGAGGGATGGGGGCAATGAAAGGCTGCCTGGGAGTTTAAAGGCAGCCCTGAATGGAAGGGGGCCCACAGAAGGCAGTGAAGACAGCTGGGCCAGGTCGCAGGGTCAGTGAGGCGTCACCAAGGCAACAGTCTCACCAGCCTGCACACAGGCCTTGCACCTGTATGCAAATCACCCCAGCAGGGGCCATAAGGCCTCTGGGAAAAGCATCCATCGGTCCAGGGATGACAGCCACAGGCACCCAGCAATTTAGGTGTCTCCAGGAGTGGACCCTGGCAGAAGCCTGGGCTTCCCTCCCTTTGTGAAGAGTTGGCCTAGCTTCCTCTAGGACAGGGGTCTGCTTTAGCAGAGGCCCCAGCAGACCACCCCTAGTCACAAATGTACAGGGTCACATCCTCTCCTCCCTTCTGTGGAATTTTCCAGGTCCCAGCCTCTGTCTACCTCCCCCAAAAGAGGTCAGCAGCAAGGAATTCCAACAGATGTTTCTCTGGAGGCTGGGCATAAGCTTCTGACTACAGCGCCCCTCCCCACCTCAGGCTCTGTCACCAGGGACCACCTGCCATGAGGAGTCTTTTGTATATTCCCCCCCCCCCTCTCTTTCTCTCTTTTTCTCTCCAGCTTCTTTCTGAGGCTAGATAACTGTCAAAGCAGAGATGGTGGGGCACTGAGGGTAAAATGTCAAGGGGTGTCCTTCTCCACTCCCAGCCAAACTGGCATCAGGCGTGAGCGATTCAATTAATTTAGTTTCCAATCTGCACCTGGGCCTTGAGGGTAAGGCAAGAACAGCTACTAAAAACCAACCTCCCATCTTCTCCCACCCCACCCAATTCTGTTTCCTGTTTGTGACAAACGCTGTACCCAGACCAGTCTGATCAAAGACAATGGTAAGAAACAGCCACTGCACTCGACAGTCCCTCAGCCCAGGCTGTGGGAGTCCAGCTGTCCCCACTAATGGCTGGCAGCTGCTGTGCCTGCTTGTCCTTAACAGCTGGATAGGAACAGCTGTGCTCTAGAAGGCACACCCATGCCCTCTAGCCAAGGAGAGGTATCTGCACACAGAGCCCAGCAACTTTCTCTCCCTTCCCTCAGGAACAAGGGGTGAAAAGAGTCAAGTGGCACTGAAGCCAGAGGTTGCTGATAGGCCAGGAGCCAAACCAGTCTGAAGGCAACTGATTTTTGATTAGTCTAGAATTAATCTAAATTAGCTGGATTTTTTTTTTTCATTACTGAGCGTTGAACCCAAGGCCTTCAGTCCTTCTTTATTTTTTGAGATAAGGTCTTGCTCAGTCATTAGGTAACTCAGGCTGGGCTTGAACTTGCGATCCTCCTGCCTCATCCTCCCCAAGTACTGGGATTATACGCACATGCCATCACACCTAGATTAGTTGGACCATGTTTTTAAATTAGATATTTCACATATATACTCAATAAGGGATCCTGGGGGATCTATTTTCCCAGGCCTCTCAGTGAGTCTGTGTAGACCTAAGATGTTGACCCCTTGGTGGTCGGGATCCCCCCCCCTTTTTTTTTACTCACATCTGCTCTGCCATCTGGATGTCCATAGGGCTGGGGGAATCCATGCAGAGACCTGCAGGGACAGAGTGCCTTGGTTTAAAAATAGAAGCATTTTCTGTGTACTTCTCTCATCATGCCCGAAAAGGGGGGAAAACCCTATCCATTTTAGATTTGGACACACTAAAAAAATGAAGCAAAAACCTACTCAGAAGCCCTGAGGGTGATACATTGCCCCCTAAAGGACACAGGGTTCCACGCCCTGTTTACTATAGAAACTCTTCCACAGTTTGCGGAAACTACAGTGCAGTCAGGTGTGGTGGTGCATGCCTGTAATCCCAGCATTCTGGAAGGCAGGGGCAGGAGGACTCCAAGTTTGAGCCCAGCCTGGCAACTAGCAAGATCCTGCCTATTAATTAATTAATTAATTTAAAAACTGTATGAAGCTCAGTACCAAGGTCTTGGGTTCACTTCCCAGTGCCATAAAAACAACAAAAAGAGAGAAAAGCAACAACAAACACTACAATGTCTTCTAAGCTTTTTTTTTTTTTTTTTTTTTGAGACAGGGTCTCAAAATGTAGTTCAGGCCAGCCTTGGATTCAGTATGTAGCCCAAGCTGGCCTTGAACTTGCATCCACCCATCCTCCTGCTTCAGCCTCCTGAGTGCTGGGATTATAGGCCTGCACCAGCCCACATGGGAATCAGCATTTTTCTTAAACTGGTTTAAAACAATTTGGAAGACAATGGCTTTTTAAGGGAAAAAGTTACAGACTAAGAGAATGTTCTAAAAGGATCAACTTTCAGCCCTTAGTACCACAGGTGGGGCTGTGGTTTACACTTTGGCGCCAGTTTAATAGGTAAGATCTCTCCTCACTCAGAGGGCCCCACCCTCCTCGCTCAGCAGTCTAGAAGAGTGCAGTGAGCACCAGTAGGAGGTTGTCTTCCTCCCACTTGTGGGCAGGACAGAGGAGGCTCCTCCGCCTACCAGGTTGTGGGAAAGATCTTAATCTGATGAGCTAGGAAGTCTGGAGGGCCAGGTAGTTCCCCCAGACCGCCCCCCTCCCCAGCATTGGGAGATCTCCTCAAGCACCCTGGGACTCACCTGCATCAGAAAACTCTGAGGACTCAGATGACAGGGAGGATTCTGACGCCCGACGGGACAGGGATAGGCGAGTCAGCTGACTTCGAAGGGGCAGGGTCCCTACCTGATGCGTTGGGGTATCGCTGGGAAGGGACGCAGGAGAGAAGAAAGGTAAATGCAGGGCTCTGGGGCTGGCCAACCTATGTTCCTATGCTCCAGCCTCCTCAGTGCCCAAGGAGGCAGCTCCCCATGAGGAAGGATCCTCTGACACCATGCCAGGGAGGTAATCAGTCACTAGTCTGCCCTCTTAGGGCAGTGACTCATTCTGGTGAGGCCCTAAAGTGTCTTCTCTGCGTTAATTACATTAGGAAATATCTCCTAGGTGCAGGAAGAGAGGAGCCCAGGGCAAGAGCAAGGGGGATAGGGGGCGCCAGCCCAGGTATTGGGGTCAAGGGCAGCAAAGCGCTACCGAAGAGCCATCCACCCCTTCCTGGAGGACAGTGCAAGATTAGAGTCTCTACTGCGGCTGGGAAGACGCTCCCGGGCTCGCCTCGGGAGCCGGGTTAGCCTTTAATCACACTAACCCTGGGGGCTGAATCGGGGCGCAGGCGGCAGGGAGCGGCAGGAACCTGTGAGAACCACCCTCCAATTCCCCGCTCCGGCCTCGGGATCCCCTGCCTGGGGCGAAATGGTGGCAGTTGGGGCACAGAGATTAGACAGGCAGCGCGGTGGAGGTACAATGAGGGAGGAGGGAGGGAAAGAGGGTCCTCGGCAGGCCACCTGGAAGGTGTGAGCCGCACAATCCCGGTGTCAGCGCCCCTGTCCCCGGTTCTTGAAGCTGGAGCAAGGGCACCCTTTGCTCTTCCCCGACGCCTCCCGCTCCACCTGCTGGACTCCTTGACTCCCACGACCAGCTCCCCGGGTCCCTGGCCCGGCCCTCTCACCTCACGCCCACCCTTCTTGGATTGCCCTACCTGCCGAGCCCAGCGAGCTTGTGCATGGTCTGGGTGAGGGTGGTGACCGGAGAGGAAGAGGCCGCGCGCTCCGGGGACATCAGAAGGCCCTGAGGGTCCAGCTGGCGCCCGGGGAGGTGGCCCGGGCGCTGGGCGCCAGTGCGCTCGCCAGCCGGGCTGAGAGCCGAGCCGGGCGCGGGCTCCTCCATCACCGCGGGGCCGGCAGCAGACGCCGGGTACAGCTGGCCGGGCCAGGGAGGGAGCGGGCCTAGGGCGAGAGGAAGGGGTAGGGAGGAAAAGCTACGGGGCCGGGCGCGAGGGAGACAGGGAGGACAGGGATGCGGGAAGGGTAGGGAGGGGTGGAAGGGCGTAGAGAGCAGGCTGCAGTCCTGGAAGCCTCTGGCTGCAGCTGCCACCTCCACCTCCTTATATATTCGAAAAATAACAGCGGCCGCGCCGCCGGACGCCACCAATGGGGGCGCGGGGTAGCGGAGGGCGGGCCCGGGGGCGGGGCCGCGGGTAGAGCGCGGGGCCGGTCAAACCCGGCTCGCCCGGTAGCCAGGCTTTGGGTGCGGCCAGCCGAGGATTAGGGTTTATCCCTCGCCCTCGCAGACCCCTTTCCTACCCCAGCTCCCGAACCAAAATCGGATCCAGGTCTGCACAGTACCTCCTCTTGGGACGCGGTTTGGAGCTCTACACGCTCCGAGGAAGCAGACACCCGGATGGCCTCAGAAGGACCCGCGCAGTTAACATCCGCGCGACCACCCGTGGGGACCGTGAGATGCTCCACCTGGCTCCGGGAAGTTTCCTAGCGCAGCTGTGCTGCGCGCTCTGCGTGCCCGGTGCGTTTTGCTGCCGGTTCTTTAGCTCGTTCAGGGCCACACGTTTAGACGAGTGGTGGAGCCCAGGTATGCGCCCTCCCTGCCCACAGTGCCCAGGGCCACCAATTCGCAGGCCGAGCCCCTTCGCAGAGGCAGAATGGGTGGGCGCTTCCGGCGGGAGCAGGCTAGACGCGACCCCAAAGGGCTCAAGCTTCTCTGGCATTAGTCATGATTCTGCTGCGGAGAGTTAGGGGACCAGAGAGCCCAGTTAGGGAAGGCTCTCGTGCTCATTGATGGCTTGGCTAATTTGGTGTCAATGGCAGCGTAATTGGGGTTTCTTTGATGTTGAGGGTGGCTGGATTTGTCATTAGTTTACAATGAGCGTTTTCTAATTATCCAATCACCTTCCAGCCAAGCCTATTTTGCTGGAGGAGGCCGAGAAGTCTGCACCCAAAAACTAGTGGAGCCTCTGCCATCCAGGGAAGATGTGACCTCTGGCGAGGTGGGGGCCATCCAAACTCTGCAGTGCACCGGGGGCGGGGGGGCAAAGGGAACACGGGTTCGGAGGAAGCTTGGTGTGGGTCAGGTGACTTGAGGAGGAGGAGGAAGAGAAAACCGCAGCCCACCTAAGAGCTGACCAAGGTGGGGCTGCGCCCTTGCTTTTTCTCAGCATTTTGCCCAGCTCCTGTACTGTGCCAGGCTACACTGCAAGGAGGGCCTTTCCTGTTCTCCGCGGTGGGTCAGGGGTTAAGTTTGGAGCCTCCAGCTCCCATCCACAGGAGGGTGAGGGAAATGGGCATCCTGTGAGGTCTCCCTCCAGAAAGAAACTGCCTTGAGGGTTGCATTTTCAAAGCCAAAACAGCAAGAGTCTCCCCGCAGCACCACCCCTACCCAACACACACATCTCCAGATGTTCACTATGTTGATTTGGAAAATGCCTTGAAATCCCACAGCCCAGGACTGAGGGGGAGGCACAGAGGAGTCCTTCCAGAGCTGACACACATCAACTCTGTGCCTTCCTGAATTAGATCACAGGGTATGTGTTCAATTAAAACAAAAATTAAAGCCGGGCGTGGTGGCGCATACCTGTAATCCCAGCACCTGTAATCCCAGTACCTGTAATCCCAGCACCTGTAATCCCAGTGCCTGTAATCCCAGCACCTATAATCCCAGTGCCTGTAATCCCAGCACTCAGGAGGCTGGAGGCAGAAGGATCATTGCCAGTTTGAGACCAGCCTGGACTACAACGTGAGCTCAAGGCCAGCCTGAACTGCATAGTGAGACCCTGTCTCAAAAAAAAAAAAAAAAATTAAAAATAATTTAGAAGAACTTTTGCAACCATCATAGTTCATAGTAAGAGGATTGATTCCTTCCATCTAGCCAGGCCCTGGTTACTGCACTTGTGGGGTGCAAAGGTCTCCATCTTCCTCTGGTTTTTTTTTTTTTTTTTTTTTTTTTTTTTGAGACAGGGTCTTGCCATGTAGCCCAGGACGCTGGCCTTGAACTACGAAGCCCACGCTGGCCTTGAACTCAAAGTGATCCTCCTGCCTTAGCCTCCCAAGTGCTGGGATTACAGGCATGGGCCACCATGCCTGGCTTCATCTTCCTCTGGAAGCAAATGCCCTGAGACTGAGCACATGAAGCTTTAGGCTCATTCAAGGGTGTCCGGTATGACCCTGGGGTCTGTGCAGAAAGAGAAGAAACACTGCCTCTTGTTTCCAAAATCCCTTCTGCTTTCTCAAGCCTGCTCCTACACAGCACTGCCTTTATGAGGCTTTTCACCTTGGTGGAACTTTTTTCTGGTGTCTTGTTTTTGTTTTTTGGGTTTGTTTGTTTGTTTGTGCAAAAGGGATTGAACCAAGAGCATCATAATGAGCTACATCTCCATCCAGCCATCCATTCATCCATTTGAGACAGGGTCTCAAATAAATTGCTAAGTTGTCTAGGCTAGGTTCAAACTTTGAATCCTTATGTCTTAGCCTGCCAGAATTGTGGGATTCCAGACATATACCATCATGCCCAGTTGAAATGGTTTTTAAAAGTTGTTAATGCTGGGCTTGGTGGCAAGCACTTGGAAGGCTGAGGCAGGAGGATCACTGCCAGTCTGAGACCAACCTGGGCTACAAAGTGAGCTCAAGTTCAGCCTGAACTACAGAGTGAAACCCTGTCTCAAAAAGACAAAAAATAAAATAAAATAAAATAAAATAAATAAATGTTGTTACATGCCACCAAACATTCAGATAAAGGAGAAAATTTAAATGGTACAAAAAGGCAGTGAAAAGTCAGGTCGTGCTCTTACATAAAACTTCAGGACTTCTCCCCAGAGGCAGCCACTATGATAAATGTGTCCCATATTCCCCTGAGATGCCAATAGAAACATAATGGTAGACACAAATGTGAGCCACGTGTGAAATTTAAAATTTCCTGGTAGTCCTATTTTTAAAAGTAAAAAGAACACTGAAGGTGTAGTTCAGTAGTAGGGCACTTTCCTAACATTTGTGAGGCACTCAGCTCAATTGCTAGTACCTCCCCAAAAAAAGCAAAAAGGAAAAGATGAGATTATTTTTAATCCTTAATAGTACATTCAAAATATTCAACATGTTATCAACATACTTTTATTTGATACCAAGTCTTCATATCCAATGTGTGTTTTACACCGGAAGCACACCTCAATTTCCACTCGGCACTTTTCAACAACTTCAGAGCCACACAGGGTTACTGACTGAAAAAACTGGACAATGCAGGTCTATATGTTTACAAGCAAATATATGCCTGTTTTTAAAAAGTATACAAATAGTACATAAACATTGTTCCCAAACTTTTTTTCTTCATTTTACTTGGAGATAAATCTATATTCGGATCATAATTATCTGTTTACTCAAATCCCTAATGCTAAACATGTAGCTTATTAGATTGATTGATTGATTGATTGATTGTACTGGGGATTGAACCCAGGACTTTTGCACTGGTCTACATCCCCTGTACTGTTTTTTTTTTTTTATCTTGAGATAAGGTTTTGCTAAATTGCCAGGCCAGGCTCAAACTTCTGATTCTCCTGCCTCAGACTCCCAGAGTGCTGGGATTAGAAGGTGTGTGTCACCCACGACACCTGGCTGGTTATTAGCTTTTACAATGATACAGCAAAGAAGCCTAAAGCTGCTGGCATTCTATCTATAGAACAGATTCCTACTGTGGAACTGTGGGAAAGTATAGCATTGGACATTGAAATCTCCTTTCCCTTTCCCTGAATCTTACCTCCTGAAGCTGACTGACCAAGGGACAGACAGGGATGGAGTCATTTATTCACCTCTTCTAGTCTTCCGGCACTGTGGATAGGACAAAGCCATGGATGGCCTCTAAACTCAGTATTTTACTTTTTCAGGTCTCTCTCTGTCTCTGTCTGTCTCTGTCTTTGTCTCTGTCTGTCTGTCTGTCTCTCTTTGTCTCTCTCCAGTACTGGGGATTGAACCCAGGCTCTCATGCATGCTAGACCATACATCCACACCTCTTTTTATTTTATCTTGTGACAGAATCTCACTAAGTTACCCAGACTGACCTTGAACTTTTGATCCTCCTGCCTCAGCCTCCCAGAATGCTGGGATTATAGGCAGGCATCACCATACCCAGTGGGGTTTCTCTTAAGGAGACATCAAAAGTGCATACAGGTATGCTTTCTAATCTCCTTACATACCCAGATGAACATACACAGTTCCTTGAGTCACTGTTCTTCAGTAGGGAAGGTGTTTCTTCTGTAGCTGCAATACCTGCAGCCTTTACAGAGAGTGGGCAGGTAGGTAGGGATGCCTGACATCTGGCAGAGCACAATAAGCAATTGTTGATTACCGAATGATTAATATTGGACTCCTGGAAGATGTGTGTGTGTGTGTGTGTGTGTGTGTGTGTGTGTGTGTGTAAGACAGGGTCTCACTAAGTTGCTAAGGCTGGTCTCAAACTCATAATTTTCCTGCCTCAGCTTGCATGAGCAGCTGCAATTACAGGCATATACTGTCACACCCAGTAAAAATTATCTTTAAAACAAAAGGATTCCTAGCATAAAAGAAGTGTGAATCTCACTTATGTTGATATCTACTGACATGAAAAGATGTTCACAATCCGGGCTATCAGGTATTAGACCAAATGTAGTTGCATTAAACACAATATGATTGGGAAATCTACAAGGATCTTAATTCAGCCATGGAATTAAGGTGATTACACATTCTTATCTTCAAATTTTTCTGTATTTTAAAACATTCTTCAAATAACAAGTATACAAGGGTCAGGGATATAGCTCAGTGGCACAAGTGCTTGCCTGGCAGGCACAAGGTCCTGAGTTTGATTCCCAGTAGCAAAAAAAACCCCAAATAACAGGTATAATTTTTCAACTAATTAAAAGGGCATGTTCTTGGCAGCACCCCAAATGATCAGAGTTACCATACAACCCAATAATTCTACTTCTAGGTTCACACCCAAGAGAAATGAAAACGTATGGCCCTCAAAACCTTGCAACAAATGTTTAGGGCAGCATTATTCATAGTAACAAAAAGATGGCAACAACCCAAATGTCCATCAGCTGAAGAATGGATATACAAAATGTCAGATATCCATA